TAGGATAAAAGGGTTCGGATATAATACGTATGCAATAATAATAGAAATAAATGAATGGCCCACAATTAAAGCATTTGAAACACAAAACATTGAAATAAGCAATTCCAATATTGTAACACCTGAAAAAAATTAATTAAAAATTTTAATAATTTCCGATGCTAAAATTGTATTAAATTTAATTACCTGCAAACATAGATCGACCGAGTATTCCATCCATTTTTTCTGATAGCATTATGCTTACTGAATAAATACTACTAAAATAAAACGATCCCCTAAAAATAATAACAGGAATATACAAATATATTTTTTTTTCTAACTATAAATAAAAACAAATATTATAACACTACATTTACATAAATCTATTTATATCTTTGACTATTTTTACTATTTTTGGAATTTTCAAATAAAACTTATGTATAACTAGTAGGTGTGTAATTTCAATGTATAATTAATCTAAAAGCAGCAATTTGTGTACCTCTATTACATCAGTACATACAAAATGCACATCATTTAAATTGAAAAGATAGATATTGCTAAATTAAATTAAGTAATCCTATGTTGAATAGATACCAAAATAATTAAAAACACAGTATTGTTCAGCCCAATCATTCTTAACTAGGTACCAATTTAAATGTGATGAAACAGTTATACCTATTGTGTACCTACCACTAACATACATTTTTAATTTTAATACTTTTTATATTTATTTATTTTATTTATTTATAATATATAAACGCCAAACGGCAATTCTAAATTAACACATTAAGTTTAAAATTAATTCCCAATGCCTAAAGACTTAAGCACCATTATAAGGCAATCGTGGTCCACTGTGTCAAATGCTTTATTAAAGTCTGTAAAGATTACATCTACCTGACCTCTGTGTTCGATAACTTCTGATAAATAAGAGGAGAAGGCAACACCACTTGTAACGGTTGATTTATGCGATCTAAAACCATGCTGCTCACTTATAATAAGATGATTAAGACTACGCTTTATTCTGGAGTATACAATCGATTCGAATAATTTACCAATATGTGGTATTATAGAAATTGGTCTGTAGTTTTGGATATCAGAAGCGTCACCAGATTTCAGAACAGGTGCTATAGAGGATATTTTCCAAACCTTAGGAAAAATACCTAAATCTAATGAACGCCTGAATAGTAAATATATTGGATAAGCAATAGAAAAACGACAATTGTACAAGCATTGAGCGGATATGTCATCCGGACCATTAGAGTAAGTATTTTTTAACGATTTAAGAGCGGAAAAAACATCGTCAACAGAAAACGTTATATCGGAAGGAAGTTCATAGGATAAGTAATCAGATGAGCCAGTAAATGGTGAAAGTTGGAAAGCCGAGGAGTTGAACGTCGAAGAGAAATGAGTTGAAAACAGATTAGCTGATTCAGTTGGAGTATTTGAGACAATATTACCGAGATGGAGTGATGATGGAATTGGAGGTTTCTGTTTTAGATTATTTACAAATTTCCAGAATTTGGAGGGGGAAGATGATAGAGCCTCCTCGGTATGCCTAATATGAGCAGAGTAATCAACTTTTGACTGGCGTTTACATTTTGCTCTAAATTCAGAGAAAACAAGATAATCAGATATCGACTTGGTTCGCTTATAAACAGCATGGGCTTTCTTCTTGGTTATTATAAGATGTTTGAGAATGGTGGATGTCCATTTAGGAAATTTAGAAGGTGAAAAAACTTTGATGGGAACAAACTTATTTATAGAGCTTAAAAGTGCATCGTTAAAGACAACAGCAGAATCATCAACTGAATAAAGCGAAAAAGTATTTTCCCAATCAAACGATCCTAGATAAAGGAGCATGGATTTATAATCAGCCGATTTAAAATCACGGTATGTATGTGTGTCTTGAGCAGTTATCGGAGTTGGAAATGGAAAAGATACAAATAAAGGTGGGTAGTAAGAATCCGGAGAAACGATTGGAGTGTTGGCAAGTTGGACAGTAGGTGTGTCAAAACTAGAAAAGACAAGGTCAAGAAGGCATCCACGGGCATTAGGCACTTGGTTGAGCTGGTAAAAATTATAGTACGAGAAAGAATCGACAAGATGAGTAGAAGTGTTAGACATGGTACCAGATGCGAAAAGACCTTGGTTGCTTTTAGACCATTTAATAAGAGGTAGATTATAGTCACCACAGAGAAGAATAGATGTAGGGTCGGTAGATGATATTAAGTGTTCGATAGAGCTGGTATGGGCCTCAAAATCTGGGAGCGTGGACATAGGTGGTAAGTAAACTGCACCTATAAGAATTTTAAATGAATTAATGGACAGAAGGGTATATACTTGCTCGAGCGTGTTGAGGTTTGTACAGATAAGAGATGTTTTAATATAAGACTTGATTGCAATGAGAACACCACCTCCTCGTGAGTAGTTACTGTTAAGATAATTTCTGTCAACCCTGAAGATTTGATAGCCATTGAGCCCAAGTTCAGAGTCATGGACGTCAGAAGAGAGCCATGTTTCTGTGAGGATAATAACATCATAACAAATAAAAAGAGGAATGGAGCATCTAAAATTACTTAATTTAGTTTTTAACCCACGGACATTTTGGTAGAAAATGTTTAAACTATTTAGATTACAATTCAAATGATTATTATTTTTAAAGCGGTTTACAAAATCAAAAAATTCAGTAGATGTATTAACAGATAATTTACAAAGATAACATGAAGCCAGGGGTACCAAATGTAAACATTGAGGATCGATGAGATATGATGATGATTGACTGACGTCACCACAGGTCCCTGGGTGGTTCAAGCTGGTTAGTTTTTTGCTAGGGTGACATGACGATGAGTAGTATGATTTAATTGAAAATCCTTATTTGCCTGGACAATGGAAGGAACGCCGTTGAAATGTCTGACCACTATATTATTTTCTCCGTTCTTCCTACGCTGTTCCAAATCGGCATATACCTGACGTACTTGTTGCCGTTCCATTAATGTACGATCACGAACAACCGACACCAATAATGGTGGGTCGGTAGTAGTACGAGAGCGCATACCGGTTACAAAGTCCTTAATGAATTGTTGGGAAGTGATCTTTGATGAAAATATGACTTTTAATGGGCGAGGGTTCTTACCAATAGTGCGACCCAACCTGATCATCTTCACATCTGAAGGCAGAGACATAGCAAGTGGTAGAATGGACTCAGACAGATGCTGTAGGTCATCAGATAAACGTTCAGTTGGTATAGTAGCAGAAGATTCAATAAGTCCGTGGACGATGGCATTAAAAGAACATTTTTCTCTTTCTGATAGTTCTTGAAGAAGTTGAGGAATATTGTCTCCAGATGAAGAGGGCAATTTACCCACGTCAGATTCAATGACACCGATCCTATTATTGAGAGTAGAAAGTTCGTTACGAAGAGAGGTATTATCTGCTCTTACATCAACAATTTGTGAAGCTAGTGAGTCAACACTAGCTTGAAGTTCACAAAACTTTTTGTTGAATGAAAGGGATAGAGCCTTACATTGAGCCAAAGTAGCATTCTGAGTTTTACGCATGGCCGAAATTACTCGATTAAATTCTTCAGACGATAGTGGGGTGGTTGAAGGCGGAACTGAAGACTTGGCAGATCTGAGCAACCTTTGCTGGTCAGAGACTACAGGTGAATTAAGATTATCCGAAGACATAGTAGAATTCGTGGCAGATAAAACTCCTTAAATTAAAAGAGATGCAAGACAAATAGCAGTAGTAATTAAACGCCTTGAATAATCAGTTAAAGCAAAATAGTCTGATTCCAATATAAACGATAACGTGATTAGGATGACCTTGTCACGTGCCGCGGACGAAATGAAGATAACGAGAGTAATAATACAATCGTGTATACGTGAGCACTGTGCTGTAATGAGCAGCAAACGTCGATAAGATGTATTAAATATAAATTTACCTTCACTTCTTGAACAAAAGGAAAACGGCCTTTAATAGAAATATATTAAACAGACTGACTCAACACCGACACCAGTCTGTACGCGAACTTTTTATAATTGTTTGGACTTAAGAATGAAAAAAAAACTGACTATTATGTCCGGTAAAAACAAAAAGAGAGCGCGGAGCTAATTAATGATGTGTGCACATGTGTGCATATATATTGCATTATCAGTGGCACAATTTCAATGAAATAGCTGGGGGTTCTGAAGTCCCTTTTTTTATTTTAGTAAGTCTACAAATGGCATAAGTTATACAAGTGTTAATTTAAAAACTGGGAGTTTCACTAATATAATCACCTCCAAGCCCTTCCTCCCAAATTGCGACTATGTGTATCATATGAAATATTTCTGATTCATTCTGGAAATAAAATGTCTGTAATCGCTAACTAAAATACTAAATATTTGTAGATGAAGTGATAGAAAAATTATCTTTATAGTTAATTTAATAACAATAAACATTAAACAATATTAAAGATACTAGAGTTTAAATTTATGTGAGCCATTAATGAACTATTGTATTCTAAGAATAAATTAGAGTGGTTAAAAGGTTAAATGAAAATTTTTCAATTGTTTTGTGTTATATTTTCAATTTTCTCAAAAAGTATTGGACTACTTAAAAACAGAACTTTTTAAAGAGGCGTTTTTTCGACATTATTTCATTATTTCAACTTTTTTTCTAAAACTAAATCGTTTTCTATTGAAACTCGTAAAAAAAAAATATAACCGTATTTGTAATTAATTTTGTAAATAATTTTTACATTTTTTTAATCACTTCGATACAGTCTATTTAAATATTGATAAATCATTAGTTTCGATATAATTAATACACATGGTAAAAATAATTATGAGGAATCAAGAAACAACTAAACAATTTCATGTCATCAAATAATATTCATATAGAAACAAATAAATACTTTTAAGGTTTACTAAGAGTGGTGAGAAATATGTGTAAATATTATAAATGTAAATTTCAATACAACTGACTCTTGGTATGAACAGTTATTGAACAATTATTAAGTTAGTAAAAGATAATAGTAATAGTCACATTGCTAGGAAAATCGCCGCTGTACTGTTACCGTGATATTTCACATCCTTTCCATATAATATATTGATCTCCTAAAAAAAATATATATGTATATTATGTAGGTGTACATTTTAACAAATTTATGTAAAAATGGAATAATAATAACACCATAATTTCCAAATAATTTTGTTTTATCCGATATCCACACAAAAGATTAATATAATTAAGTATATATCATTATTTTAAATTGTTTATGAAATATAATAATGGATTATGATGATGTTGATCATCATCATCATTTTATACCTATATTTATAATTTTAGATTCTGAGAAACTATAATGCTCTTACTATGACGAACTATTTAAACAAAATTATTTTTAAGTATTATATTCAAATATATATTTTGTTTTAAATAAAATTTTGAACAGAACATGTACTCCAAAAGTTTCATATTACTATACATCATTATTTTTGAAAATAATCATTTTTGGTATTAGTTACTGAAATCCGCTCAAAATCGTTCTTTATATACAATTATTAATTACGAAGATACACTTTAAACTTAAAGTAACATACATATCAAAATCAAACATGTTGACATGAATAATTTATTCTACCTGATTTTTTTCTTTTATTGTATTACCACAGTAATAAATGTAATATCAAATATAATTAATTAACGAGAATGTATAGTGTGGTGCCTCCTGGGGTACACCAGTTCAGCATATAGAAAAAAAGAAATGAAAAATACTATATAATATAAAAACTTATTCAACGAAATGTTGGTGTCTTCACCGTCCAACTCAAAAATCTATATAGATCCTTCCAAACCAACTCATGACGTGTTGCTATCATAAACGATGACCATGACATATCCTCATCTTATAAATTAGCTAATACATTTGAATACATATTGCACTAGTGTCCACGTAGCCATTAAATTTCCTGGTCCTACTATTGACATTGGTACAGATTCACTAAGCGCTGTTATCTATCTTAAGTATAACTTGCACTCGACCACCTTAACAATTAAAATAAGTAACATGATCTTAAAAGTTGACGCCTAACAACAACATACTGTATATATGGAAACCAGGCCATTGCGGAATTCATGGCGATGAGAAAGCTGACAAAATAGCTCGAGAAACAGTCAATAACCATAGGACGGAAATACGTACCTACTACTCACTTAATTGACATCCATAGGAATGTTAGCACCTATCATACAAACCTAACCTAACCTAAACGGCTAAACCTCATGCATTCGGTCGCAAAGATGATATTATAATTCTAAACAGACTAGGTACGTATAATAGGTCACTCAAAGATATCCCATGGTCATCTTACGCGTAGTGAAGAACCAACACTGTGCCAAACCTGTGGATCAATGTATAAAGAATTGTATTAAACTTGAATTCAATGATATAATATCATTGTATAAGAAAAACGATTCTGAGCGGAGATGGTTTGTCAGTCTGGATATTGTTATTATTTATTATATCCTGTAAGTTGAATATTATATATTACTAGCTGATCCCGTGCATTTCGTCACCCGTTAAATGTATCAACTCAATATGGCTCAAACTTTGTTCAATTCGTTATTCAATATTCGGTATATGGCGTTCAAAATTTATCTTATCTTTTCCGTTGCCCGGAATAAAAATTCTGAATCGCAGCAGTACATTATCAGGTAGGCAATCTACCTGCGGCAGATCGCGGACCCCGTGCTGTTTGTACGGAAGTGTATGATTTAACTCTAAAGTATCAAAGTTATACCAAGTTTATTTTGATATAATACGGTGGATTAATATAACAAATTTGGTTGCTTGTAAGAAATCGCAACTCTTAAAAAAATTATGATTGTTGAACTAATTTTGGGTGTAACTTGCTGCGGTAAGTGCAACTCAGCCACCCTGGTAGGCAATGTTCAATAATTCGATTTGATGCAAGCTTGTACCTGATCTGCCCGAAAAACCAATGACAACCAATAAATAAATGCTAATTTCTACTGTAGACTGTAACCAATGACAACTATTAATAAATAAAAATAAAATTTCCAATTTCCATCGTGAATCTCAATGTCCCTGTTTAAGCACCTATTTAAAATGTGAATTTTGGAAAATCCTTTCTTATTGCACAGTGAAAATATGAGAAGAACCTCTATTCCAAATTTCAAGTCCGTACGTTGAGTAGTTTTTGAGATACAGCGATCAGTGGGTCAGTGGTATTTGGATTTTATATGTATAGATAACTAATTATTGACTAAAATTATCGGACTTTATTTATGCCTAAAACCTGCTCCGTGATATCCTCTTTCATTTAAAAAAAAACTGCATGGCAATTGGATAAGAAGTTTCGAAGCCAAACCGTAACAAAGATTTCCTCTTTTGCTTGATTTCAGTTTTATATATATAGATAATAGGTATTATTATTTTTTATTCGTTTCTATGGTGATAAACAAAGCGTTAGAAATTAAAATCCCATTTTTAGAGGTTTTTTCGTAATTTGTCGGTGGTTTTTCCTGTGGCATTAAATAGCTATTGAGAAAATCGAGAAAAGTACCTTTCTTTAGTACTATTTTGATCCAATTCGATAAAAGATAAGGTACTATATGTTGAAATCGAACTACTCCTTCTGGTAGATATTTTGTATACAGGAAATATAAAAAAAAAAAAATAAACATTATTGCAAAACCACTAGCTTCCTCGCTCCTCTCAGAATCTAAAAACAATTAAACATAAATTATCTTTTTTCATTATAATATATTAAAGCGATTTGATTTTTATTGAGTTTTTTTTCAAAGACTCAGTAAAACAAATTGGTATTTTTTTAACTTTAGAACATCCTTGTGTGTATATCGTGATTTAATATTATGTAATAAACAAAAGATTCCATTACATTTTAATCAACTGGATAATATGTAACTATGTGGCTATTTTGGCCACGTATCTTACAAATTGATTAGGTAATTATATGAGTATATATTTAAAATTCTAAGCTAATGGTCAATCTTACCATTGGCAAAGTAGCTACTTTTGGATTATTGGAACAACTATATAAAGTTGTCTGTATTAGATAATGCATTGCATTTGTTACATCCAACAATATTTGATTTTTAAACAACATATCTAAAATTACAAATAGGTAATGTAAAATATAACCAACAATAAAATAAATTGTAAAACAAAATAAAATCGTATTTACATACTATGTTTTGCAAAATGCATGTACGCCAGCGATTGCATACCATAGTCATCATTACGGTCAATATACATGATCAAGTCTTGGGTATAGCTCTTTGGAAAATGTATAAATGCTAAAAATTTGCTATTGTTCACGAGCATTTCACCAGTATAACGATCTTTGACTTCAACCTAAATAAATAATTGGTGAGTATGCAATTGACATTTTAAATTACCTGCCCAATTATTTGAAACACAGTTATGATTATTATTTAATCGTCTAAAAATGAACCTATTTATTCCACTGAAACATTATTACAAAACTCACTGAAAATATTTAGCTCATAAACGGTTTATGATAAACCTCTTGTTTTCTACTTACTAATGTATAGTCAAGTGACGCAAGATAGTTTATAGCAACGCAACTCATTGTTTGACTTGAAATATTTTCAAAAATGCATTTACTGGAGTTTAAATATTTGCAATCATTTATACTAATTTCATCATTTTGTATTGCTACTTCCATTCCTTTAAAATTTCCGCCAATACTATTACAAAAGTTGGTGGTTTGTATGATGGGAAGAAGGAACACGGTAAACAATAACCTATAAAATATATTTAATATACAAATTTATCATAGCATTTATATTAAAATACAATTATACTTCAACTAAAGTTACCAGTAATCACGATATAATGCATGAATATTCTTTTTAAACAAAGCTTTAATTCTTACAAAATTAACTTTTTTACCAGCTTCCATTAATTTTGTTGACTGCATCTTACCCGTGTTTTGAACTTTTGTAGGAATTTTCTAATAATACAAACATTTTTGAAACAGTTTGATTTAAATTAATTTTAAAAGCAAAATATAGTAAAAATGCTTAACATTTGAAAAACAGTAACTCTGATATTTATTGGGTTATTTTTTTTATTATTTATTATTATTATTACCTAGTCTAAAGCTTCGGTAACTTGGTCCATAGGGAGGGTTACGGTTTTGGTTATGGATTTGGGGGGGGGGGTTTACTGTTGGTTTTTTAACAATACGTGTATATGTGCAGAGCGTGGATTTGTTGCTAAAACCCAGGTGGTCACCCATCCGGGAGCTAGCGACTGTGGCCAACCACCGCTCCACACCAGGCCCCTTATTGGGTTAATTTATTTTTAAGTATTGTTAAGTTAGTAATTAGTTGTAGTCCAGCGAGAGAACGCGCCCCGCACCGACCAAAACTGGTTCCCTGCCAAAGGGGAATCAGTTTTGATAGCAATAGGTGACGCGGGGGGGTGTGCATAATCTGCGCGTTCTCTCGCTGGACAGAGTGAGAGTATAGTATATGTTTGTATATAAGTATGTATGATCTCTCATAGGTCATAGGTAATAATTTAATGTGGATATTGGTGAACGATACTGAACATCAGAACATCCTTCATGAACAAAATATCGTCAAACGCTGCGAAGAAGGTCGTATCTCTCTTTCACAATTTTTTTTTCAAGTTATCATAACTGTTTTTGTGTAGTTCCAGTAAAACTGATAGTAGCATAAAACAATCAAAGACGTTCTATACAATAAAATGCAATTCCTACCGTCTTAGCGGGAGGGAACTACACAAAAAGAGTTATGACAACTTGAAAAAATAAATTATAAAACAGAGATACGACCTTTTTCACTGCTTAACCCTATGTCAAAATATTGATAATTTTTTTTATATCTTAGCCATACAGTTTAAACACTTTGTGTCATAAATATTATTGTATTAATAATAAATTATTCTTAAAATGTTATTCCTTATAATTTATCTAAGCTAAGCTGAGATTAACCACATATTCTGTTCCATTAACCATATATTCTTCGATTAAATAAACAAATTTTGTCGTTTCATTTGGTTAAGTTAAATATTAGAAATTTCAAGTACCTACTTTTTAATAAGATACACTCGCAACGTGGTCCATTGAGATTAATTCACGCAGATATTAATTTACATAATTAATTAAATACCTATTTAGTTAGTATTATATTATAATACACTGATAACATATATACACACATTACAATATTATGATATAAACGAATAATAATAAATCAAGATACGATAATTATAGAATTTTTCTGTAAATTATAACTGACAACAACAACAATTTTTATGTGATGGATATATAGGAGTTGAAGTCCTTATATTATAAGAACTATATACCGTGTGTGCACGAAAACAGGGAACACTGTATAATTAAATTACCCATACTACTCAGTACCCTATAGATATTTTTTAATTCTGTTTGCGGGACACGAAACTAGATCATTGGATCATCAAAATAAAATTCTAAAATATGTATAGTGTACTGAGTAACGTAGGTAACTGAGTCATAGAGTGTACCCAGTTTTCACGGACAAGCGGTACCTAAATATACCTAGCTATCGGGGCCCGATCTTTGCCTTTTAACACCAAGGGAAAATCAAAAAAATACGCCCATCTGAGGGAGACTACCAGAACTAGTATTTTTTTTTACGAAAAATCAAGCACACTCACACAGTATTGTGAGGACCAACATTTACAAAATCTTTGGCAATATACTGGACCAATAATTTATTTACCACAAATAATTTAAACGAATTTAACTTAAAACTAAAACATTTTAAACTAATCAAGTAATAGTTTTAGAATCACTTCTTAATGGTGTATTTAAATCTGTGGTCAATATTTCTAAGTTTCAGATTTAGAATAAAATAAATAATATTGACAATAATAACACGTATGAATTATTTATTAACAAATCTAAATTAGGGATACCTAATTGCTTACTTTTAATATAAAAAGATTTATGTAAAAGAAAAATATTTAATTTACAACAAAACAATATTATACATTTTTCATTTTTAATATTTGTTACAATCAAAACTTAATGTGTACCTACCTAGGTACGGAAAAAATACAATGAAACAAAAAAGTGATTATGTACTGAAAATTTTAATATAATGATTATAACATGATAAAGAAATTTACTTTATCATGGATTATAACTTGTGGATTAAATGTATAATATACTAAAATATCTAGATTCTACATTCTACATTTTATAAATTTCCAAAATAATAAGAACCCGGTTGTTTATTTGATATCATGAACTGTAAAAATAAATTAGATAAAAAAAACTAACCAAATAGAATATAAATTTACTTTTAAATTATTTTAATACAATATACTATCTGACTTGGGCTACATATCAATACGATAATATTTTTGTTTTAATTATTTAATTATGTTGTACTTTTGCAATATCAAGTTTATAAAAGAAAATAAATAGTTGTATATTTGTATTTAAAAAGCAAACACAAATAACAAATTAATAATTATATTCCATTTTGTGTTCTTTTTCATTTATCTAGTGGCAATGGTGATATTTATAAAAAAATGCAGTTTATAAAAAGGCATTTGTTAAATATAAATGTATTATATAAATGTTTTCATGCTAGGTGTGCTCAAGTGCAGATAAAGTATGTATTTTTACTATCTACACTAACATCATTAAAATATCTGCTTACTTATTTTAAGTCAAAAGTTCCAATTTGTTATCCATCGTAGCATGTTACCTAATAGTTCGATAACAATTTCAAAAACATATTTGAATTTTTCATCAACTTTACTTCTTACCAACTTTGTTCTTTTTTTTAATTTCTCTCCACTTTTTTCTTAATAGCATCATTGAAAATTACAAAGTAATAAATCCACTTTCTCTTCCACTAATATATCTTGGCTAAATGTTAAGGTATTAAAGTAAAAAAAATTGAAAGTAAGTAGATGTAAAGTAAAGTTGTTGACAAATTCAAATCAGTTATTAGAAACCAGGAGTGGACTGGAAATAAAAATTGGCCCAATTTTGGGCTGATTATATAATGTTTATAAGTTATTCAAGCAGTCCAAATTTTTGCCAGGCCCAAGCGGGGATTGTCCACGTACCACCCTAGCTAATCCACCCCTTTTAAAAATCTTTTTTGATAATCAGCCAGTATAAAAGTATTATAGATAATACTCAATAATAGTACATATAATCTATTCGAAAAAATAACGAGAAAAATTGTATTGCATGTGCCTTCATTATTGTGACATAATATACATCATACATGTTCTTATGGAAATTATACGTTTGATAGGCGTGCAGGCACACCTCGTCACAGCACTACGCACAGTTCATAATAGTTCGGACCATTTGTAGCCCCCTTAACACAATGCCTATTCACAAAAATAGCAATTTCATCAAGTGCATAAAGTTATTACATTATAAAAAATGAGTTAATATTTACATCAAAATATACTAATGGTGCTTTATTTGCATCTTGATTAGAACATAGGGTTAAAAAAGCTGTTTCCAACGAATCTGCTCCATATTTGGAAATAATGTCCTCAGGAGCTCCTTCTTCTACCAGTACTCCATTTCTCATTAAACCAATCTACAACAGTAATTAAAATATTAGATAAAAGACATATTAGGTTTTATTTTAAAATAATTTTATACATTTCTATAAGTAATATTTTTTAGAAGAGATTAATCAATAATAAAATTGTATTATAATAAATAAGTTAAGAAACACCGTTATACTACCAGCTACTTCTAAATTGTTTGAGAATTTTAAACAGTAAGCTCTGATCATACTATACATAATACTTAGACTGTTAAATATTAAATGTCCAACACGTTCATTATTTGTCATTTTGATTTGATGTTAACATAATATTCTGGATTCTTAAGTTATTATTTATTAATTATTTCCTTCTATTTGAAACTATGTATGGATAGTATTATTTTTATATAAAGTTTGATTGTTATCTATTTACAATAAACAGTCCTGTTTTGTCTGATTAAGTATAGTAGATATAGGTATACGATATTATGTAGGTGGTTAATATTTTTTGCAGAGAAAATGGGAGATAATACTACTTAGTTAAGAGTGGTTTCATAATTAAATATTTACCATAGAATTAAATATTATTGTCTTTGCTATACAGTATAAATACAAATTGCAATTTTATAGTTGATTGTATGTCTATAATTTCTAAGAACCTATCAACCATAGTTATATTTGTTCTTAAACTACTATAATACTGCTTCTTTATTTTGTTGTATAACTATCATGGGTGTAACTAATAACTATGTATTGCATAAATTCATAAATAAAAAAAAAGACGCCACACCTGTTGTGTTTTCATAATTTTACAATCATACAACATGGACATTTTTCGTTCGGCAGAAACAACTGTTGTGTTGTTAGCTCACATTTTAGAGGTGAAATTGGAGTGAATAAAACTATAGACAAACCTAATAAGTTGGATATTATGTTATGTGTTTGGACGTTGGTTATTTTAATTTTCAAGTATTTTGTGAATAATTCTAATAATAGTATAATTATAATTATAATTCTTATAATAGTAACATATTATTATAAAAATACAAACTCACTCAAAAATTAATATATTGTGAAAAACCAACGTACAAACACATGTGTGTAATATTCTTACTTTTAGATTTATAATGGGTAACTATATTCACTTATATTAAATAAAACAACACATAGATAATTGGTTCAGCTGAACTAGAATTTGCTATGCTGTCAGATTGTTAGCATAAGACAAAGCAAAACGAATATGCACGGGTGCATCCTCTTAGACGAATTAAATTACCTAATTAAACATTTTTCGTTATTTAAAGTTGTGGAATGATTTGTTAAAGTAGTAAGCATTGCATGTAAAATTATTAGGTTAAATCCAACCATCTCAAAATGTTCATATTAGATACCCGTGCCAATAGGAAACATAAATCTACTTCAACTAAATTAAACGTTTATGATATTTTGATTATCAAGCAAGATTATATAGATGTATACTGTACTTAGTCTTATTTGATATGCCATACTTTATATTTTAAATTAAATACGTAATATAACTATACAACTATATAAGACATAAGTACTTGTACACAAATATATAAAAAAAATAACAACAATGTACTTACACGATTAGCTAGATTTGCTTCTTCGATATAATGAGTAGTTATTATGATTGTTTTATGTTGTTCTACGACCATCTTTAAAAGCCCTTTCCAAATTCTAAAACATATTTTACATTTTTAATATTGAATTTAACTTATTTTTTATTCAATGTGTTACTCTTGTCTTAGTAAAGGATCAATTCCAACCGTAGGTTCATCCAATATAATAAGCTTAGGATTATGCAATAAGCAAACACCAAGAGATACTCTTCTACTTTGGCCACCACTAAAAGGAAAAAATGTAAAAATAAAATAAATAATAAAATAACAATTATTAAAAAGTCCATAATTCATATATAATACTATAGTAATTCTCATCTTACCAGAACTATTATGTGGAAAAATGGGAAAATATAACATTTTTAGAAAAATCAAAATAACGTTTTAAAAAATTCAAATTTTGTATTCAAATTTAAAATGTAATTTATGAATGTGTTAAGTGTAAAAATCTATGCTCGAATCTCTCAGAAAATGTATGGCTATAGAAATTTTGTGCGAACGAATGATAACGCGCTATCTTAGCAAAAGCAAGTTGTTAACGACTAATCTGAGATTTTATGCGTTTATATCATAATTTTGGGTTTTAGGAGCTACCACTCCATGGTTAACTCAATTTTTCTAACACAAATCATGGGGAAAATACACTGTTTGTAAGAATTTTCATTGCAATTAAAACAAAAAATAAATTAATATTGATCCAAATTCTAAATAGTTACTTCTTAGAATGTATTTAATATAATATGATATTATTTAAATTATATTATTATTTTATAAATTCTATCCAGACAAGAATGTCCTTTTAACACAATTATGTGTATTTTGTATACTGGTTACCTATTTTTGAACAAATTATAATAAGTAATATTTTATTAAAAGCTTACTAAATACAGAGTATTGTGTAGGTACCTTATATCTTTTATCAAACGATTCAAATTTGGTAACTGTAAGAATGCAACAAGCTCGTCTTTTTTTAACTTGATGTCTTTCTTGTTCATGTTGTAAAGTGTACCAAAGTATTCAAAGGTTTCTCTTATGGTCAATGTGCTTTCCAAACATAAACTCTTCAAAATAGCTAAGTGTTAAGATCTATGAAAATCAATCCTTCAGATTCTATATTTACTTGAGGCATATATCCCACATCTTTTAAATGTATTGCTTTCAAGGCAATACATCCTGAATCCAATTCCATTGATCCCATTATACATTGAAGAAGCGTCGATTTACCACATCCACTCGGCCCCAAAAGGCCATATCTGTTAAAAACAAAAATTGATTTAATAATAACTATTATTCCATTAAATATTAAAAGAGAGGAAAGAATAAATAACCGATCTGCTGTACAGTAAGTGCCGAGAAGGTCTCGTCATTGAGTAAGCTGCTGTAATGCAGGTGTTTTAATATTAGAATTCAATGATAAATCATAAATCATTGCCATACGAAATAAACGATTCTTAGCGAAAACGGCCAGTCAGCCTAAATTAATAAGTATATTTTACAATACATTTATATTGTTATAACAGTTAATTATTTTACTTGATATTACTCATACGGTGGGTTGAATTAATTTTTGCCGAAAACATTGCATTTATTATATTATTAATAATAAATTATAACAATCTATATTAATAAAAGGCAATTTCTGTGTGTGTATGTGTGTTACATCAAACATTTGGTTATAGTAATATGAACTACTAATATACTTATAAGAAATCTTGTATTACATTTTCAAGCTTTTTGACCAAGCAACATTTTTTTATCGACATTTTTAGAAAAAAAAAACTAAAACAAATCAAAATTCAAAAATGTCTATAAATAGCTGAAAAATAGTCAAATTATTTTTAAAATGTTACCACTTAATACTTATATGAACATTTGTACTATATCAAAATAAGAAAATAAATTTTATAAAAAAAACTAATTGTGCGTAAAAATTACAGTTTCACTTTAATTTTAGGTTTTTTTTTTCATGATTATTTTCTAAATGTCTATGAATTATTGATTTTGTCCACTGAAAAGTACCAACAAGTTTCACTTTCCTACGATAAAAGCTATTAAAGTTTAAAATTAAGTCATTTCTTCTAATATAAAATATGTACACTAACAAACAAAATACACACACACAGACATAATTTATTGTAAGATCAATAAATTAATCGCTCAGCCGCTCAGGTATATCTGAGTCTATAACTAGGAAGTTTATATTATGATTTCTTATTTACATCAACAAGCCAACAAGGAGTGTATAAATATTACAATTTTAAAAACGTATAAATGAAATTTAATTAACATTCAACGAATTAGAATTTAATTTACCACTTATAGGTACATCGTTAACGACTGACATTTGTAAAATAACCAGGGCGCCTCAAATATATTTCAAAATTTCAATTTAACATTACCTAACTAAAGCATTAAGCCATTATAGTAATTGTAAGGTATATTACTGTTGTTATTAAAAAAAGATTACAGGCTATTTAATGTAAACAATTCAATATCTCGAGGTTACCTCAAGTAAACATAATTAATACTATAAATTTCCAAATGTAATAATGTCCAAGGACAACTGTGTCTTCTGGGCAACTGTGCCCCGAATAAAATGGGTACGCTGAGACCCTCCCCCCGCTATTATCGTCAATGAACATAATTTGTATTATATATTTATAAAAAAATGTATACTTCATTCCTATAACTATTGGTGGTATTTGACATTGTGTATATAGTGCGGTAGACATTATACTAGTAGATGGAAGATACAAATCCGAAACACGGTGGGGATAATACTTTTATTTTTGTTCATCTCCTGTTCATATTAATTCTTCAGCGAACACCCACATAACTACATTTGATACTGGGTTCCTTTTCATACATTCTTAAAGTCACGGACTTTACCTAACTTTAAAAAAAAAAAAACATTGAATCAAATTTACCAAAATTATTTTAAAGAAACGTCATGCTTCGTTCATCATTCAGTTTTAAACTTTTTACATAATACATACCTAACATTATTAGAACAGGTTTTTATCAGCCATAACTTAATAATTCCACTCAAATGTGCAGTAAATAATTAAATATATATTAAATGAATTAGACAAATTAAAGCTATTAATAAGATTGAGAGAATATGTGTCAGTAGAAGTGTAACTAATCAAGAAAGATTATCGAGATTGTTATAATTCCTTCAGCAATACACCACGGTAATGTAATATTGATTACCTACCTGTTCTTAATATTGTCAATTAAGACTATATCTTAGTATCATTAAGGTCTTAATTTATTTAAGAACTCATGATTAAAAACTATTAGGAGTAACATTTTACCAAATAATAAAAAAATATTAGATTATCATTTGTATTTTTTTAGTAAAATCAGAATACATTCCTACTTAAACAATTTAATATATAATGCTAAAAAAGGTTACCTTTCTAGTAAAATTACTAAACTAAAACATTTTCAGTGACAATGAGGATTGATGAGTAGGTATGTCTTTATATTAATATATAGTTATATTGTCAATACCTACTCATAAATTGTAATGGTCATGCAGTTGAAATTTGTATCTAGGTTTTACGTTTAATGTGGCAACGATATATAATTACAATAACAACTCCATCATTGTCAAATCGATTTTTCTAGACCTAAACTAAAAATAATAAACATATAAAGCATATCTCTTCTCAACAAACGCATTCGTTTAATTTAAAGGAAATATTACTTGTTTTGTTATGTTACTAGATGATGCATTCATTAGAACAGAATAATAATTACTATAGCTGTTTATCCGCGTTTACACTTCGTTAAAATACCATTTTCAAGCTAATAGGCTTTAAATAAATCACTCATTTAGAGAGTTGGTAAGGCTTGAATACTCTAATTTTACTTACATTTATCGATTAGGTATTTTATTTTGTGCACTAGTATGTACACATATAACTATAAACATATTATAGTAATGACCACATCATTTTACTTTGCTACATCTATAAGAAACACGTATTTTAATTTAAATAATTTATATTCATTAAAGCTTAATTTCCTGAAAATAGTTTTTTTATTTTGTTACAAGTCTATACAACTGTATAACATATAATATATTGTTTACAAAATACAAAGTACATAATACTATATAGTATATTATATTTATCTGGGATATGCTAAGTCATTACACAGACTACATGCATTTAGAGATAACGCTAGACACGTCCTAATATACAAAAAATCATTACAATATTTACATAAACGAAAATTTTAGATCTTCATTACTTAAGAAAGTTTAGAAGATTAATCTATTTTGGACAATGTTTATATTAGGGTAGTACGGATAAATAAATAAATTGACAGACATACAGAATATGAACATTTTGTCATATTTAAATTAATAATCTTAAAAATTCAAAACCTTACGGAGTATAAAAATAAATATAAAATAATGTAGGTAATTGTGTGATTTCTTAATACCTCTTATTAAAAATGTATATCGTATTTAAAACTGATGTACCTACTTATTTAAGGCAAAGTTTCCACTTTTTTTATTATTTTTTTTTTTTGTAAGGCTTAAATTTAAACCTACATGAAACGCAACAAGTTATAATATTAAATATATTATCGCTTATTGCTATCGTATATTATGATATATGAGTAGAAATAGTTTTGATTAAATGTATCTGTACACATAAGATTTTTTAAGTATGCAATTATTTATTATTTTATCGTCAGGTAATTTCTATTTTACTCAATATTGGCTAGTAATTTTAGATTCTGAGTGGAACAATGAATGTATTGATTTTACAATGATCTGTTTTTTTTTTTTTTTGTCTGTCATCACGGTTTATGGCAGTAAAACTGCTTGGATTTTCTTCAACAGAAACTTTTTCGATGGGAAAGTGAATCTAGTTGGTGCATTCTGGAGGTTGAATTTTAAAATTCCCAATAGTTTTCAAAAGCGACGGGAAAAACAACATAAAAATTAAGGAAAAACGGGAATTTTTACGCAAAATAGGTTTTCCACAAAATCGATTTTTGTTTTTGGTGTAACTCTAAAACAAATGAATGCAAATAGATGAAATTTTCACTGGTTATTTTTATTTTCTATACACGATCAAATTTTCATAATTTTATGATTTGTTTTGAACTGTTTAAGAACATTTTCATTTTCCATTTTTTTTTTAGTTTTTTTTCTTAAAACATCAATAAAATTTATTTGTTGGTTAAAAAAGCTTGAAATGTAATACAAGGCTCCTACTATATTTTTAAATTGGCATTTGAAAAATATTAAAAATTCTTAGTCACAGTTTTTTTTTTATAAGCATTTAAAATTCAAAAATTGGCAAAATATGGAAAAATCACGAAAATTATAAAATCATTTTGAGTTAAAAATTCGTAAAAATTTTTCTTTTTAAATCTAAGATTTCAAAATGTAATACAAGATTCCTTATAAGATTAACTACCTTTGTCAAAAAAATAAATGTCTACCGGAAAGTGAATATAATTTTTATGAGCATTTTAAATTCATATTTTTACAAAATTTTTTATTCACTCGATTTCTCATGTAACGATTTCTTTATTTAGTTGTAATTCAAAAACTAATAACTGTAGATACATGAAAATTTCACTGAATGTTTATATTAGCATTTCCTGTACACCATACAATTTTGAAAATATTTTGACTTGTTTTGAGCTTTTTACGGACAATTTCATATTTTAATTTTTTTTAGTTTATTTTTCTATAAATGTCAATAAAGTTTTATCTGTTGGGCCAAAAAGTGTAAAAATATAATACAAGGCTCCTGGTATATTGTTACAATATCATTTGAAAAATATTAAAAATACATACGCACAATTTTTTTTTTATAAGCATTTAAAGATCAAATTTTGACAAAATTTATCAAATTTAAAATTGAATAATTATTTTGTAGTTAAAATTTTGTAAAATGTTCAACTTTTATATCTAAGGATTGGAAATTTAAAACAAGATTCCATGTAAGTAGTTAATTCTGTTACCAAAAAAATCTAAAAAATACATAAGCACAGTTTATTTTTATAGTCATTTTAAATTCAAATTTGGACAAAATAGCATATAAAAAAACCTAGAATATCTATTTTAGTTATTTTGTTGTGATGGTATAATATTAGGTATTCGTGGGTACTTGAAACTTCTATAGTATATTTATCTATGATAGTATCAGGGTTTGTTGTTGATGTATAACGAGTTATAAGTACCTTATGGATATTGTAATATGATTAATTTGGAATTTATTATAGGTACCTGTTATACTATTTATTTAGGTCAATTTTTTTTAATACCATAGATAAGTATATAATATGTCTTATACCTAGACTGACATACCGTCTTCGTTCAGAATCGTTTTTCTTATACAATGATATTATATCATTGACTTTAAATTTAATACCATCCATTATACAGTGACCCACTTGTAACCTACTGTACAGCAGAGCACCTTTTTTTAAATTATAAATAAATTGCTTGAATTTATCCAATATTTAAATTTTTAACTTTCATATATTATTAAAATTGATTTTAAAAATAAAGTGTAGGTATACCTACAAACAAGAAGACCAAATCTCAATTCAATCCAACGTTTTCAGACGATCTATTATCTATGATCTATGGTCGACCATCCTACTGTTTATCTTATTTTCTAAAACTGATGTACTATAACATAATATTATAATATATATATGCTATGCTGAATAAAGTTATATGTAAATATCCATTGTAAAATCCAATAATCTCCGAAGCTGAAATTATTGAATTTATTTCCTGTATGCCTACACAGTTTTTATTTACCTTAGTATTTAAAATGTAATACCTACCAATCAGTCTTAAATTTCAGTATAAATAGGTACACCTATACTAATTTTCTATTTAAGATTATATACTTTTAAACGATTGCTATACTATTAATAATCAAAAATAATAATACCTACCCGAACATGGGTACACCTTTAATAAAAATTTAAATGAATCAATAACTAGTATTCAAATATAATAACTTACATAGAACCTGAAGTCACATTCATGTTCAATCCATTAAATACTTTAGTTCCTCCATAACTCTTAAATGCATTTATCACTTTTACATCATATTGGAATTCTTCGTCAATCATATTCTGTTTTTGTATTATTGATATGATATTTTGTCACAAAAAAATATACCTATACAATTAATAATAATTGGCTAAATTACGTACGTCATATATATATTATCACTAAAAAGTAAAAATAGTACAAAATTAAATCGCAAATGATATTGGTATCTTACACCGGTCGCAGACTGTATATAAATAAACGATATTTAAGGCATGAGTGGTTCATACAACCATATTATACATTGTCAATAATATATGGAGAACGTAAAAAAAAGTGGAATCTTTCCATCTGGAAAATTCAGTATCTTGGTGTCCTTGAACAATGGTCGTTACATTACCTATCGTCAATCGGAGATTTTTATCCTCATGTTGTCTGTTGCATTCAAGATCGAAAATAATGCTTAAATAAAAAAAACTAAATAAACGTCCTGATACAATTTGAAAATTTGAAAATTCTAAAAATGGTTGTACAATAGCAATGAAGAACACAAAACAATTAAATTAAATAACAATATTGTTTTCTTATTCTGAACTTCAGCTTAGTTTAATACAGTTATAAGTAAAATAAATAAACAATTAAATTTTAAACCTCCGTATGTTCAATGACACAAAAAAAAAATCAAAACATTCATCGCTCAGCTCAAAATCTAAATCAGTTTAATTATAAGCTATAAGTCTATAATTATATAATATATTATATTATAATATTATATTATATACAATTAACTAGGTATTCATCAAACAATTTCACTGTAGCATTAACTTTTGATGGAAATGTGTTTTTAATTCAGCCCAAATATATCGGTAACTCGTATAAGAATATTTAAGATAAATACTTAAAAGGAAGGTATTAAAATATGTAATAGTCATTATACTATTTATATCATAATAATAATATATATTAATGATACAACAGAGATATTTTCATAATATAGTTAAACACAGTGGCGTCCGCAGGGGGGAGGCTAACGGGCTGAAGCCCCCCCCCCCCATTGCCCGTATTATTATTACTTTTTCAAAAAAATATTAATCAAGTTTAAACTGTCAACTATAGTAAATCTCATATATGTCTTACCAGAATGAATTCATTTTTGAAAAAAACATTGTATTTGCGTACCAATTTTCATAAATTATCTGTAATTTTTCGGTAAAAGTATGAACTACTTGTATTAAATTGTCTAGCCTTAGATATACATATTTTATATTTTATAAGTTTTGAACTACAAATTAACCGTGGTTTTGACGAAATTTGAACTTTAAATGCTCATAAAAAATAACCATTATGCCTATGTATTGTTAATATTTTAGCTATAATAAAAAAACTTACGTATTGCATTTTTAAGCTTTTTGACCGGATAAATAATTTTTTATTGACATTTATAGAAAAAAAAATTTTTTAAAAAGGTAATTGTATTTATCATCTCGTGAACTGGGTGATTCATCAAGTATGCACATCTTCCCTTTCTGACTTTCAAAATTTTTAAGTTTAGAACTTTTTTCTTATGAGAACCACGCTTTCTTTACCATAAATTATTAATTAGGCTAATTTTTAGGAAATGTTGATGCATCAAAATTTGAACGATTAGCACTATTAAACTTACTGTACTGAGGTCTGAGGGCAATAATCCTAAATATTGGTATAAGTATTATTATTATATTATTATACTTTATAATGATCAGGGCTTGAAACCGAAAATATTTTCTCCAATTTCGTTTTCGGTTTCGGTTATCTGTATTTATTTTTTCCAACTTCAATTTCGGTTTGGATTTTTTTCGATTTTGTTTTCGGTTTTGAACAGTTTTAACTTTTAACCTGTATTCAAAATCAGTTTCAAGGCTTGGGTAAACACCATATTTTAAATATATGTAATATTATATAGTGTATAGTGTAGTGTTTATTATATTCAGACAATTTTCAAAATGTATACAATTATTGTATAATATTATTAATAATTATTAATATAATTTTCAATTTATCACAAATACATTATCTTCGACTATAATCCTTAGATGTACTTAAAGTCCAATAACTCAGAAACTACTTATTTGAATTTATCACGATTTATACACATCAACATTTTCAAAAAAATCATCTATTTAAAAATTTACAAAAATAGTTTCAAAATAATAAGTTTTTACAATAACAAGGCAATACAAGGAATTAGACCACCGTTGGGACAATATTAGACGACCATAATATTTACATTTATTGGTGACATTAAGACCTTTTCAGGTGACAGTAAGACCTCGGGACAATAAGACCACAGGTGACATTAAGACCAATGAGGTGACAATTAAACCACATGTAAATTGATTGATACCAGTGATGCCCACGTTGCCAATCGCTAGATTCGCGGCACTCGGACAAAAAAATCGAAAATATACCTCGACTTGCTATAAAACACACACCACCTCAAATTTGTCACAGGGTAACCGCCATAAAACCACTCTTATCGAACTCATTGTCCTTATCTCTTTGTTATACCACAGAGAACTCCTTAAATGTCATAAAAAATCTCACTAGGTATACAGTCCTAAAAATGCATTATATTAAAGGATAAATTAGGGTGAGCGTGATTGGTGACGCACTCTGTTTACAATATTAAATTATTTTTTTTAACAAATTATGGTGTTTTTATAGTTGGTTTTATGTTTGGTATATTAAGATGTTTAATTATAACTATGATTAGAATTTATATGTGTTGATATGACATTTTTTTGTAACTTCCTTTTTTAAATTCGGTTAGTAATACCAATGACTCACCTGATACTAATGGTCTATTTTTGATTTTACTTATTATTACACATGCCAAATATCAACATTATTTATGCATGTTTACTGGTACCTATTAAAGAGGTAATATTAAAAATATGTAGTGTAAAATAAAGTAATTGCTACTATGTTCGTGTTTTTAAACCTTCACAACCTATATATATATACTTATAAACTAAGATACGGTGGACGATACTTAACTAGATTCCGTGTAATACTGTAATATGATGCCTATAATTTAAATTCCATAATATAAGTAATTTTTTTCTTTCGAAAAATAAATTTTAAGATCTGGTAAAAATGCTATGTTTTTTATTTGAGTTACAGTACCAAAAATAATTTAACATGCCTAAGAAGTATCTTTGATTTTCTCACTCAAACTGTTTTTAAATGTATTCAATAATTAAAAAATTTAAATGATTTTGTACTAGATGCGACAAATTGTGTCCGGTAGGCAATTCATTTATTATTATTTCTTTCAGCTGTAACTGCAATAGATCCTTATAAATGGATACAAAAAACAGTGTATTGCGTTATTATAGATATATTATTGTGATGGGTATAAATATAATCTTACTGGAATGTATAAGAAAAAATAAATCTCTCAAAAAAATAAAATGTCTCCAGTATAATCACAATAACATCCGAACCACAAGTTGCGGCTAATAATTGACCGACGTAATATGGGACTTGAGAAATGTATACTTAGGTAATTTAATAATATTATATTTCAATGTAATTACAATGCAATGGGAATAACAAAACAATACACATTAGCTTAGTCAAAAATAAAAAAGCTTATTGAAATCGTATAAATGTAATACAATTTAATAAACAAATATATTTATTAAAAAATCAATAGTTAATTTAAAAATTACTTACCTAATGATTTTAATATACTGCGAATTAGATAATTTAGTACCAATGTACCATTGTATTTGTAAAATTCCTACAATTCAGCCTTGTACTTTGTTGGGAGCGTCTTAATAATTGAAAACAAGTATTACCTATTTATTACCTGTTCAAATTATTCACAATATAAAAACAATTATGAGCCAAGTTTGATTTGCTATAATTAATTTAATACATTATAATTAAAACGATAATAAAAGTAACCTTGTAAGTTGTAATATTCAAAACAATAAATTAAAAAAAGTTCAGAATTATCCATTTGTAAAAAAAAATAATCTTTTAAGGTTCTAATACAGTATAATATTGTAAACATCCAATCGGCAATCAAAAATGCATCTCACATAGGTAGGCAGTATTATGATAAAATCGATGAATAACCACAGTTGTACAAAAATAGTTATACCTACAAATTTTAAAGAATTTGTTATTGCAGCCATAATGATGAAATTTGGCAATTTTCCATACTAGAAGATAAAACGCGAAATATACATCTTCTTTGTTAGTCTTCTTCTAAGTTCCCCAAAAACGGTAGTAATAATCTCAATTTCAAAAATCTATTTAATATAAATATAATCCTTATATATATTTTTTAAATATACGCATGTATACGAACAAATGTTTTTAAAATTAAAATTTTATTAGAGTAAACAAAAACTATAGAAATCGTAAAAACTTAATTGATTATAAAAATCTTTATAACATTTTTAATATAAACAATATAAGACATTCATATTAGATGTTTGGGCTTCAGTGAACATAGGATTAAAAATTATTTTGTTTTGTCTTGTCCTAATCATTAACTACATTAACATACAAAGACACTGATTATGTGTAGTTTGTGATTCATCAAAATATAAAGTTAAGGTTTTGAAGGTAACATATTTATAAAATAGTAAACTATTTGTTGAAGATTTGGAAAACAATTTCCTAATTTTAATTTAAAATTCAAATATAACTAAAATAATATACTCTTTTCTAAAATGAAAAAAATGTTTTTACTTATAAAATATTATGCCAAGTAATATTATAATATAAATTTAACTTGGTTTTGAAAGGTTGGTAATAGGTATGTTATGAATATTTTAAACTATGTATACTATTTACTTCCGTGTAAGTAAGTATTAAAAAAAAAAACAGCAGTGCAGCAAACCTGTCACGAAACCTGTATTTTATTTATTTACTCAGACTTATTAAAACACTAATTAAAACATTTTATAACTTTAACAATCGAATTTAATTAAATAATCATAGCAAAAATAGTTTTGATAAAAATAGTATATATAATATATGACTCTTATAGATGCATTTAATCAAGACTGGTTGCTCACTATCG